GTCACATTGTCTCATGCAGGAAGCAGTCTGGGTAGCAGGTGGTCCCTATCTGATGTACACTGACACACCTAGCGGATCCCCAAATTTCCAACTCAAAGAACTTTGTGCTCATGGTGGTCACCTTATATATCAGTCAGGGTTTACTGGAAAGAAACAGATATAACACAAGATATACAACTGTATAAGAAATCACAAGATTGGCTTACAACGGTCAGCCACAGAGTTGAATAAGGGGGCTTGCAGAGAGTGTTTGCACACTAGAGGTTGAGGGGTCCAGCTCAAGGGCTGAAGCTTACTGCAGTGTCCTGTGCAAGTCCGCATCAAGAGGTCTATGATGGAACACTGAAGAATCTGCGATGGGAGGCTGAAGAGTCCTAGACAGAAGCCAAACAGTCTGTGCCAGAAGACAGGAGACAATGTCCAGGCTGAAGGCAAAGACTGGAGCTCCTCTGAAAAAGCAGTAACTGTCCCTCCTCATTTGCCTGTCTGGCAGTGGGGCCAGGATGATGAGAGGCTGGGTTTAGCTATGGTTGTTGACCAAGAGTTTATGCAGTGTCTTCATGTGCCTGGGGCCTTTTTACTTGTGGCAGCCTGGGGATAGTAAGACTTCTTCCACAACAGCTCAAGGCTTCAGTGAGAAAGGTAAAAAACTTATGACCTTTTAAAAGCTAGCTTCAAAAGCCCTGTGATAGGACCTACTATACTTTATTGGTTGAAGCAATCACAAACGTGCCTAGATCAAAGAGAAGAAGGCACAGATCCCACCCACTTTTTAATTGGAGTACTGAAACATTTATGGTCCTGTGTATAGACTGCCACATCTCTCTTGGCAGAGTAATAAAATCACATGGATCTCCAACACGCTTTCCTTAGGATACAACTTTCATGGCAGTCATAGGGTTCCCCATTCACTGTATACCAGGAAGGACCAGGATCACGCGGTTGGCCTCCTGCTAGCAAATAACTCAGTAACCACACAGCCTCTCCCTGTGATTTTTATCTGAGGATAGCCAACCTAATTCAGACCTGTCTTCCAGATGTCATGGACCAACCCCTACCAAGTAATTTATGATCATTTGCCTAATAAAAGAAACATTACGCTCAATCTTTTGTTGAGCAGTTACAAAATCCCTTTGTAACTACCCTCATTTCTGCAGCTGCTTCCTATAATCCATTCATCAGAACAGCCAGAGAGGTTCTCATATATTATAAATTAGATGGCATTTGCCATTCATTCTCCAAGTTGAAATCCCATTATTTCCCACTGTACTTAGAAGGTATCTTTTGAACATTGGAGAGGAAAAGAGCAGTTAATATTCTTGTGTGTCATGGTTCATGGCCATAGCATGGCACTAAAGGATGAAAGATTATGCAGAGACAATATCCAATCTAAATACCAAGAGGGCCCAGAGGGACTATCCTTAACTGAGACTTTCCAGCATGAAAAAAATCTCAAAAAAGACAGTCCCAAACTGAAGCCCTGTGACTTTTTATTGATAGAACCAGGAAGCAAGGATAAAGAACAAAGAAGATGTCAGGCATAGTGGCACACACTTATAATGCTAGCATTCAGGAGGCTGAGGCAGGACGATCATTACAAATTCAAGACTAGCCTGGGTTAAAGTAAACTCAAGGCCAACCTGGACCGCATAGTGAGATTCTGTCTCAAAAAGACCAAAAAAAGGAAGGAGAATGTCTGTGTAGCTATTCATGGAACAGACTGGGGAAAGAAATGGGAAGGTCAGAGTGGTCTGTTATGTCACTGACCTTAGGGTCAGTTTAAGTATGGGAAGGTGGAGGGCCAAAGCATACATTTCTTGAAGCAGTGTGTTAATCCTCCTTGGATTGGTGGCCTTAGACCGTCTTTTAATCTCTAGCCAAGCATTCCAGGTTTTGGGTGTGTGACTCCAAAAGTCCTTTCCTCTGCATATCTATCTCACACATACCTCCATGCTCATGATCCTGTGTGTCCTTTGGATTACCTGCATTTTCTCACAAAGTCGCAGTCAGATGGTGGATACTGTTGATCCCCTAGCTGCCTGCTTCACAAGACTAACTGTGGCTGCTAGTGAGAAGCTCACCAGGGACCTCCCGAAAAGATTTAACAGAAGAGGAAGAACACGAAGGCAGAAATACCAAATTTTTATCCTGTCTTTACTTACACATTGGGCATCTGCAGGTCTAACCTCTAGGTCCCTGATTGCCTCAGAAGAACAGACAAACCATGCTTTTCATGAGTAGTGGGTTTAGATCCCAGGAGACTGTCCTCTGTCCCAGTGGTTGTCTCTAACATTTCACCAGCTGATGGCTGCTTTATAAGTTTGCAGGACTGTGCTGCCAGATCTTACTTTTTTTTTCCAAAAGGAGCTACAGATTTTTTATGTGAAATTTCCCACTTTAAATGTTGGCAACTAATTTAAATCTTTAAAATGTACTGTGTAAGCCAGTAGTACATGTGCTCCAGTTGAATTTGCAAACTTTGTTGTATGCTCTTCCCTTTAACACATATAGCAATCCTATAAGATGTTACTCATTTTGTGGAGGAGAACATAGGGCCTAAAAGGCTCTAAGCCACATGCAGGAAGTGGCTAACCTCTGACTAGGACCCGGATCCTTTGAGTTCTAAAACCTCAGCCCTTTTTATTTATGCAGAAGAGAAAACACACAACCACAAAAGCTAAACATCTGATGCCACTAACCTATGAAACTTTCTTCTCCATCCTTCTACCCCACCCCACCCCACTTCTGAGCTTCATACTAATCCACATTCCAGTAAGAGAGCGCAATCAGCCAGGAAGCATGTGAGGTGCTGGGAGGGGTAATGCTGCTTAGTTTCTTGGCCAAAGAAGCTCAGTAAATCTTAAAAGAAAGCTGGGGCAACAATGCTCAGTACTCAGTGCCCCTAGCTAGCTGGTCCACAGGCTAAAACCAGCTGCTCACCAAAGTGTCCTCTACGTGCCCTGGATTTCAGGAGCCTGCCCAGGGCTGTGTCCCCACCTAGCTCTGGCCCTCAATGCTGTTGACTGTTCTCTGAGCTCAGAGTAAATAGCCTTGGTCCCACCCAACAATGGCATGTTTCCAGTCCCAAGGCTGAGCACAGGAAGTCGAGGAAGACATTCTCAGCCTCTTTTACCAACATCTACCACGGGAGCAATGAGTGGATATTTCACATCACGAAACACTACTCACCTATCGTTCTAGTTTTCACTGTCCCAAACTTCCTCTAGCCTCCAGGAACAAAGACCCCCAGGGCTGGTGGAATCTCAGGTCACTTGAGCATAAAGAATATTTACAGGTGTTTCTTGCATGGTACCCTTGGTAATTGTTTGGCATTTACCACCCTGGATTCTAAAGCTTGATGTGTATAGTCACTCCCCAATATCTGCAAGAGATGGGTTTCAGGATCCCTGTAGATACAGAAATCACGTGTGCTACATATAACCTACACATCTTGCACTGTATTAGTGACAGCAAACCTTTTAGTGATAAGTGCCCAAACTGTGACCCCAAACCCACTTACTTATCACAAAGTATCAACACTGCAATTAAACCTGAATCCTGAGGTTTTAGTTTAAAAAAAAAAAAACTCATATATTAACATCTTTTGTTATTAAAAAACAAGTAACACTTGTGCCATTGGTTCACACCACTACCTTATACTCTTGTGCTTGTATGTCATACACAGATTACTTACAATAACCAACTGCAATGCAAATGCCATGCAAATAGTTGTATATTGCATTGTTTAGGGAATAATGGCAAGAAACAAAAGTCTATACAATACAGACACAATTTTCCCCCAAGTATTTTCCATTTGTCTGAATCAAAGAAGGAGGAACCTATGGATACAGAAGTCAATTGTACTATCAGCCTCCTTAGTAATGGTAGACACTCAAATTTATTTACTGAGCAGTCACAACATCTATGCTGTATTTTGGGTTCCTGTGTCAGTCAGTGTAAGCTCACTCATCATAACCATTTTGTGGCAGGATCTTTGCATTCCTGTTCTCTCTGAAGTCTTATTGAATCACCACTTTTATAGATGACAGACAGAATGGTTGTTCAGAACAGGGAAGTTATCATTCTAAATCCCTCTAATGGAAAGTGATACAGGTGAGAGTCAAACCAAACTCTTGAACAGGGCTGGAGGGCTCATTTCGCTTACTTTCTCTGTACAAGTATCCTCTCTTTGTGTGTCACGTAGTAGGCCCCCAACAAATATTTACCATGGGATGGAAAGAAACAAAGAACTGGAGAGAGAGAGAGAGAGAGAGAGAGAGAGAGAGAGAGAGAGAGAGAGAGAGAAAGAGACAGAGCTGGGTTTAGAGCCTTATCTGTACTGCTTTACATGAGACCTAAGGGTGAGGGTGTCAAACATCTGAACATCCAGTGTGTCTGTCATATACAGTTGAAAATAATGCTTAGTTCTAGGCTGCTGGGAAGATCCCTTTAGACAAGGAGCTCCTCACCCACTGAACCCTGATAAAGATGTGGTGTGAAGAGACAGAAGTGGACCTGTTCCTCCTCAGAATGTCTCGTTTATTAATTGCACTGTAGCCTCCACTGTGTGCTTTGTAGCCTCTCTTGTATGCTCTGATCACCACTCCAGCCTTCCACCACTAATCCCTAAAGGGGTTCTGCACTCTGATTCAATCATCCCCAAGTCCAACCACTGAATCCCCAGGGTCTATTGCCTCCTTGTGACCCCCTGCCGTTTCCTCCTCAGTCCTGACCAGGGGCATTCCAGGGAGGACTAGAGAGTCTGAAAGTGGGCTCTGGTCTCCCGGCCTAGGACCTGAGGTTCTGCCCTGCCCTGCCCTTAGGCCCCAGCAGGGAGGAAAAGAGGAAGCAGTGGACAAGCGTCCGTCTGGCTGCAGCTGGTCTAGCTGCTCCAGGCCTGGAAGCTGCTTGGGTTCCTGGTTCCCACCGGGGCCAAGAGTGACACCTGATCCCAGGGGATTGTGAAATGGCATGAGGTGGCAGCTCTCCCGCTTGCTCTCTACCCCCCTCCTGCACCCCGTTGCTCCGCCCCACCCCTGCCCCACGCCCCCAGGACGTGTGGTTAAATCCCCCCACCTTGCTGAGCTCGCACCTGCTCCTCGCCCCAGAGGGCACCATGCCTGTCAGACGTCTCTGCTCGCTGTCGGTAGCCCTCCTCCTTGGGCTGCTGCTGCCCAGCCTCCTCCAGGCCGCAGGTGAGTGGGGCAAGGAGAGGCCAGGTATGCAGAAGAGCGAAGTCACCAGCGCCGGACAGAGCCAGGCAGAGGTGCAGCCTTTCTGGAGGCTGAAGAAGTGGGGATTGCTGGGTGCAAGTGAGGAGATCCATGAAAATTAAAAACAAGGCACCCTTGAGACATAAATCTAGTACTCTCGGAGTTTAGGAAGTGGGGTACAGTGTACTGGGGGGGGCGGCGCTAAGGGCTGACATTTGCAGGGACATGGCTTCTTGTTGAAGGTGGACACCGGCTGGAATGGAACCTGGAGTTATACTGAGACTTCGAAGCTCTCAGGCGCTCAGCTGTGTGGGGTTCCCCCTTAGATTTGAGGGCTGTGAGGCCCAGCAATGGGATACTACTATACTTCGCTGTGCTTGAGACTCTGGGGTCTGGAGGTGGGGCCCTCTGGGAGATCTAAAGGGTATCCTAGGGGCCAGAAAGTGAAACTGCTTGTCGTTGAGATTTAGGGCTCTTGGAGCAGAGGTGGGCATCCTTTGCCTGCTCCCACTGAGGCTCCCCCCTCTCACCCCTAGATGCAGGAGCAGAGAAACCTGGCCTGTGCCCCCGGCCCCAGGCGGACCTGAACTGCACACACAACAACGAGTGCCAGTCCGATGGCGACTGCGAGAGGAACCTCAAGTGCTGCCAGAGCGGCTGCGGCTCGGTCTGCACGGTGCCCAACGGTAACCTGGTGGTGACCAGCGGGACGGGGCGGGGCCGCCGAAGGCCACGGGGAGCAGGGAGTGCCGGTTCCGGGAAGGAGGGCGACCCAAACCCGGACCCCGAGAAGGTCCGGGCCCTCCCTTGCGTGGCCCCGGGGGACACAAAGGCGTCACTGAGGCGCAGCCGGGGGCCAGGGCGGTCCCCCACCCTCGGCTGGCCTCGAGTCTCTGGTGCATGACGGGCTTCCGGGCAGGCACAGCAGGACATTGTTCCGGGCAGTGTGGGGACCCAGGGCCGCAGTTTCCTCCCCAGACCGGCTAGAGCCTGCCTGGCAGGACTCCACAGAGTCCAGCTTGGTCAGAACAGCACTGTGCAGAGCAGGATGGGACCTTTATCTTCTATCTGTGGCAGACCGACAGTGACAGAGAAAGCTGTTCTCGCCCAGGGTTTCATTGCCTTCCCGTGGCTGGCAATGAAATGGTTCAGAGTCCTTTGCCATTTAGGGGCTGAGTGGTTTAGAGAAAATCAGGATCCTGCCCTGGGCACTCTGTCCTCCCCCCTTATCTTTAAAACATTGTCTTCCCCTAAGGACCAAGGGAGAGAGAGCTGGGATGCTTACTAGGCTCAAACCTCTCCACAGACAGGGGACTCTGATCAGGGCAAGAAGCAGCCTTAGCCTGGAATGCAAGTTTCTCAGAGTGCAAACCTGGGGGTGGGAGGCCGCGATAGGACAGAGGGAGGACCGAGGTGTGTAATTACTGGTCTTCATCCAGAAGGCAGCCCTGTGATTTTTCCCCCCTCTTTGTTATCTTGCCCTAAACTGGCAGCACAGGCTGGGAAGCTTTGTAGTTATGAGAACCCGTACAGTAAAGGCAGGAGGGTAGGAGGACTTGCCCATCAAGGGCGGCTTCCGGCATCTGAGAGAGGACCAGAAGGAGAGAAGAAGTGGGAAGTAAGGTAGATGACAAAGGAAGAAGGGCAAGAGGAGTCTAGACGTTAGGTGGATGGAGAGCTTGTTTCTTCTCTCCAATAGATAGACTGATGCAAAAGAGGGAGAAGGGGACAGGTCCAAGGGCTCCCTGAGCCAGGGAAGGGAGCTGCGGGTTCCTGTCTTGGCTCTGACATACCCTAGGCGTGTGGTCCTGAATAAATTGCTTTTGTCTCTCTGCGCCTCTGCTTGTCTGTGAAGTGAGCCTGAGAACCCCCAACCGTGGATTAACATGAGGACTAAATGAGATGGTGGGCAGAGGTGTCCCATCGGGGAAGGGACTACTCATGCTTGCTTTGTTAGTAGCATACTGTTCCCTGTTTATCCTCTTTTTGTCCCAAGGCTTTTCCTCCCAGAATTGAGAGGTCTTGTCCTGTACAAGGGAATGGTTTCTTTGGACTAGGAAGCAGGGGCTCCGTCAACTACCCTCATGGTCTTCTACAACTGATCACCCCGTTCAGGGCCTGTGTTTCACATGTGACTAGGCCTAGCTTCTACTCCTTGGATAGGGAACCACCTCTCTCTCTCTCTCTCTCTCTCTCTCTCTCTCTCTCTCTGTGTGTGTGTGTGTGTGTGTGTGTGTGTGTGTGTGTGTGTAGAAGCCTGGGCTCAGGTCTTGCTTAAACAAAACCTCCTGACTAGTAGGGTCATGTTGGGATGCCCCTCCACCTTTCTATGCCTCCTTTTCCTCATCTCTGTTATGAATGGGGTTAGAAATATCCCCCAGGGTGAAGCTATTTATGCTAGGATTGCAGGAGGTCGCCAGTGTGCTGTAAAGGATACATCTCTGCAGTGGAAGCTCTGGGTGTGTGAGTGAAGGTGGAAGGGCGTGTGAGTGTGTATGGAGGGACGGTCATGGCACTGGGTGACTGCAGCTGAGAGTGAGTCTGTGGAAGGGAAAAAAGTGAATGCTGAGTGTGTCACCTTCATGGAATACTGTACTTCACAGTTTCTGAGGCACAGTGCAGGGTGGCGAACACAGCCTGGAGCCAGATTTCCAGTGGTTCGGTCTTGCTTCAGTCCTGCATGCCGTGAGGCAAATTACTGAACCTCGTAGTGCTTCAGTTTCTTCTTCTGTAAAATTGAGGAAATATTAACATATCCTTTCCCCTTTGTACAGTTATTATGAAAATTAGATGAGCTAATGTATGTCAAGTGCTTGGGAAAGTGTCTGGCTATAGCAATAACCAATTAAATGTTAACTATTATCGTAATCATTATTTTTACAAAGTAGCTTAATCTTTGGGGTAGAAACAATGCTATTTATTTCCATTGCTTTTCTAATGAGCCGATGATTGGCCCCATGGATGTCACTGATTCCGTGTGACACCTAAAGATCTGATGCTCTGGCAGATTTCTGGTCCTAAGCTACCAAGTTAGAAAATGGTAGAACAGGGCTCAAATTGAGCTCTGATGATTCCAGAGCCATCTGGGAGCAGGAGGAGGAAGGTTTTGTAGGCAGTCCCTCAGGGACAAATGGGAACCATGCCAGCATCTGAGATCACTCAGATAGGCAGCTGTGCTGTTTGCAAATCAGGCTGACAAGCAGCAGGCGATCGTGCTTTGATTGTCTTCTCCCTCCATCTCAGTCTTCTTACTTTTTTTCCTCCCCAGAAAAGCCGGGTACTTGCCCCAGTGTGGACTTACCCCAGCTTGGCATCTGTGAGGACCAGTGCCAAGAGGACAGCCAGTGCAGTGGCGTGATGAAATGCTGCCGCAATGGCTGTGGAAAGGTGTCCTGCGTCACACCCAACTTCTAAGGTAGGTGGGCCAAGGACCCAGGGCTGAGGGATCAAAGACCTGGGCAAAGCCCTTGGTGCTTGTGTTTGTCCATTTATTGATTTTCCTTCTCTCAACAGCTATTTATTGAGCACTTAACTATCACAGTTCTAGAATGCTAGGGATGCTCAAGGAGTGAACAGATCAGACAAAAGTGTCTCCCTGATGGGACTTATAGTCTAATGGGTGATGAAAAATGGGCAAGCAGAATTCACAGTATGTTACAGGGATGCCTCTGGGAACAGGAAACACGAGTGAGGCATGGAGTACTCAGGGAGGGGGAGACAGGGAATATTGTTGCACTTTTATACAAGGTATCTTGGTTTCTGCCCCTTGACAAAATACTTGAGCACATCAACTTAAAGGAGGAAAGATATATTTTGGCTTATGATTTTAGAGTTTGAGTCCATGGCCGGATGACACTCTTACCATTAGGTATCTGGCACCATGATGGAAAGTTATGGTAAAGGAAGACTGCTTACCTGGTTGGCAGGCAGGAGAGAGGGGAAGTCAGAGAGGATGGGTCTGTGCCCTTTAAAGGCTGTCCCCAGCAACCTACTCTCTCCCACTGGGCCCCGTCTCCCAGTAGTCCATTCAGCCATGAGTTCATCAGTGGGTTAAAGCACTGACGAATTCAGCACCCTCGTGATCTAATTACCTCTTTAGACCCCCACCTCTGAACATTACTGCATTAGGGATCAAACCCTCAATATATGATTATTTAGGGAGACACTTCTTATTTAAATTGTAAAAAAGATAGTAAGTGAAGTCCTTGCCAAGATGATCTATAATTAAAAAGAAGGGGAAGAGCTATGGAGCCGTCCAAGGAGAATGTCGCAAGCAGAGAAACAGCAGGTGCGGCTGCAGGAGCATCCCTGGGTACTTCAAGAAGAGCCAGAGGGCTGTAGACAAGTAAGCAGGGGAGAGTAACAAAAAGAGGGCATGAGGTAAGCAGAGCATGGGGCGGCTCATTCAAGGGAGGTTGCTCTGCGTGGCTGCTGGGAGGACAGACTGTAGAAGTGGGGGCCCGATGAGAGACCATCTGGACCAGGCTAGAGCCAGGGCCAGAGAGATGCTGGGTCTGAACATGGTGAAAGCAGGTGAGGCAGTGTTTGTGACAAACAGAGCTGGAGGAAGGGATAGTTTTCTCCTTTGTTGAAGGCATTTCAGTAAGTCAGGAGCTGCAGAGAGGGAGCAGCTATGCCTGGGCAGGTAACAGTGGCTGGAGAGTCTGAAAGGGTTGGAGGCGGGGGCAGGAGGTAGGATGCTCTCTGCATGGCCAGTGGAGGGCTGGAAGAGAGTTGGTCTTTATTTTCACTAAAAGGGCTTAGCTTTTTTGTGCAAACCTGCACACTTCAGTTTGATTCCTTAAATGTGTGTTTGACATATGTTAAGCACTTACTCTGTAGCAGACCAGAATCAAATTTATCCACTTCGAGTAACCTTGGCTATGAAAAGATAATAATATAGAGCCTCCTTAGCCCTCATATAATTAAGAATAAAACAATATTAAGTTGTAAAGTAAGTGTAAAAAAGCATAGAGGAAAACTGAAGGAAATGCTTAGTGGGCCCGCTGGGTGACCCAGCACTCAGCCATGCGCTAGTTCTGGTACAGAAAGGTGACCACTGCCACAATCCTGAGCTTGCAGTCCTATGGCTTAGGTGAATGAATGGATGACACTCCCAGTTTCTGTCATCAGCACCGGTACTGTGGGAAACAGAGGCGGAAGCTGTAGGAAACCCTTGGGCAGGGATGAGGGGAGGCTGAAGAAGCTGTTGGAGGGGGATTTCCAGAAGGTGACCCCGAGCTAGAACTTTACGTGAGGAAAAGGCAGATAGTCTGGTGAGGCGCAGTGGGAAGGTGTTTCAGGCAGAGGATCAGAAGGCACATGGACTTGGAAGTGTCTTTTGTTGAAATCACTGCTGGCGTGTACAACCTTTAACCAGATATCGACAAAGGAAACCTGAAGGTCATCGATTAAATCTATTAGTGCACAGATTAAAAAAATAAAAGCAAAACTGAAGCTGAGAGAGACAGCCATGTCTGAAAGGCCTTGCTTGCTACTTCAAAGAGTGCTCTTTTGTGGCCAAGGGAGTCCATGGTCTCCCTAAGACCCATAGCTCTCCTTTGATACCAGCCAACTTTTGGTTCTATGAATGCCAGCTACACAGGTGGTATTTGCAAGCAAATTTTAGTTCTGATGCTTAACTCCTTGGACCACATTTATTTTGTTTATAGAATAGAGATACATAAGATCTGTTTGACCAGTTCATTTTAACCTGACCTAAGGAATGCAGGCATGATAGAACTTCCTGGTGGTGGGATTCCTGGGGATATTAAATGCCTGTGAACCCTTAGGAAGGCTTCACAGTGATTATCTGGCACTACTGTATACCAATGGGTTCTGGGGATGATCTGAAGCACTAGAGATAAGTCTAGAACCCAAAGAAAAATAAGAGAATATCTCCAAAAGGGTGGCTTTTTGCTGTGTGTGTGTGTGGGTGTGTGTGTACTTGAGAGAGAGAGAGAGACAGACAGACAAACATATGCTGGCACAGAGAAGTTGGCCTGTGTCTTAGTTACTTTATGCTCATTGCTGAGACAAAAATACCTGAAGCCCAAAGCTGGGAAAGGAAAGGTTTATTTCTTACAGTTTTTGGAGGTTTCAGTCTACACTCAGTTGGCTCCAAGGCAGGCGGGCATGGCTGGACCGCAGTTCATGGCGACTGCAAAACAGCAAGCTCGAACCAGCCAAGAGAAAAACACACCTTCTTCCTGCCATTACATCACATCCTGGCTCCACCCCTATGTGGATGGAGCACTGACACCATCAATAAAAGCACTATACAATGAACCATCACAAATGAACAATGCAAACTCATGAGGCCTGGGGAACACATACATAAACCATGACATTCCACCCCTGGCCCCCAGGACTCATGTATATCCTTTATACAAAAGACATTTAGTCCACCTCCAAGAGTTGTCAAAGTCCTAACAGTTTCAGCATTGCTGAATAGTCCAAGTCCCAAGATCTATGGTGAACTCTTAACTGTAACCCCCTGTACAAATGAAACAAGGTTAAACATTTCTCAAATGCAAAGGCACAAAATAAACATTACCATTCCAACAGTTACAAACAGGGGAATATAAAGCATTGGAAACAAACCAAGTCCAACATCCAGCAGGGCAAACATTAAGTCCTAGAGTTTCACACTCAGCATCTGAAGCAATATGGTTACAAGCTCCAAAAAGCATGGGTGATTCCACCCCCAGGGCACTTCTGGCGATTTCAACTCCCGCGCTTTTTTCTTAAATTTTCTCTGCTCGTTTTTTGCAGCTTTCCTTGCATCATCCACGTTCCTGGCTTTTCCAAACTTCTGGGGTCTCCACTGCACCTTCATCTTCACCCTTACATCTTCACAAATTGCCCTCTCAGGGGCACACTGCTTGGCCTCCCAGGCCTTTTGCAATGGAGGTGGAAGCCGTCTTAACCTCAGAATTTGCGCATTTTCTGTACACCTAAAATCAGCACCTTGTGGATGCTGACAAGGTTTGCTGCTAGCTGAAGCAGTAGCCAGGCTTTTCTCTCTCTTGGCGGTAGGGGTCAGTTGCCTGGATGGCAGCGCTCTGTTTACCTGATTGTGATGAAAAGCTTCTCTGTGTTGCCGCCATTCTGGAACCTCACGTGGCCTCTGTTGCCATTCTGGAACCTCATGTGGCCTCTGTTGCCATTCTGGAACCTCACTTGGCCTCTGTCGCCATTCTGGAGCATGGCACTCTGTAGCTTTTTCCTCTGAGCAAAATTTTTCATCTTTGCTGTGAGGCTGCACAGGGTGGGACCCACTTCCTGGGATGCCCCAGGGCCATCGTTCTTATCTCTCTGTTTCTCCTCAGGAATCAAAATCTCAACTCTGTCTTTATAATCCACAACCTTCCTGGAATTTTCCCTCAGGCCAAACTCACAGCATTGTACCTTATCCTGCTGGGCTCTTTGCTTCTGATTTGAAACATAAAGCTGGCTGAAAGCCCCCAACAATAGCCATGCCACAGCCTCAATGTTCCATTGCTTTTTAATTTCCTTTTCAAGATTAATCAGTCCATTGCCCTTTGTATCAGTCTCAGGCAAAGTCTCTGGGCAGGAGCAAAATGCAGACAAACTTTCTGCCAAGCCATAACACACATCATGTGGAGTCCAAAGACCAATGCAGTCCTTCCCAGCAGAAACCTCCCAAGCCTGGTCTTTACCATCTGGCTTTCTATCAGCCTTCTGGTCTCCTGAGCTCTAACCAGTATCTCCTCTACAGAACAGCCTAAGCTGCTCCAGCTCTATGCATCCAGGCGACATGTCCGAACCTTTCCAAACTCCACCCACAAGCCATTTCCAAAGCCTCATGAAAAACATGGCCAAGGATAGTCACAGCAAACGACCCCACTTCTCGGTACCAAATTTCTGTCTTAGTTACTTTTTACTTGCCACTGGGACAAAATACCTGAAGCCCAAAGTTGGGAAAGGAAAGGTTTATTTCTTACAGTTTTTGGAGGTTTCAGTCCACACTCAGTTGGCTCCAAGACAGGCAGGCATGGCTGGGCTGCAGTTCATGGCGGCCGGCAACAGCAAACTCGAACCAGCAAAGAGCAAGACACACCTTCTTCCTGCCATTACATCACATCCTGGCTCCACCCCTATGTGGGTGGAGCACTGACACCATCAATAAAAGCACTATTACAATGAACCATCACAAATGAACAATGCAAACTCATGAGACCTGGGGGACACATACATAAACCATGACAGCGTGGGATTTAAACAGCTTGTACTATTGTCTAACGTGCTGGATGTTGATGATTTTCTTGTGCTTTTCATTCTCCAGCTCCAGCCACAACCAGCCTGTGGAGCAGCAAAAGCCAGTTTGGGCCTGGCCTGGCTCCACTGCAGCGACCCTCCTTCCTTCCTGGATCCTGAGTTCTGCCCGGAGCTGACTACAGCTTCTCCCTTCCCCAACCAATAAAATGACAGCTTTCAGCATTGGTGGAGCCATAGAATCTGTTCATATCACTGGGCTCCTGTTGCCCAGACATAGATTGAGATGAATAAGCAAGTAGGATGGTGAGCAGATCATCCGAGTGTGAAGTCCAGGAAACCGTTCACACTGAAGCAATGAAATTCATTCAGGGTTTGGCTCCTCTGGGTTGACACTTTCCAGGTGAATCCTTGCGCCAATCTCGAGGTGTTGGTCATCATTCTCGGAAGGTGATGGATGAGAAAACAGGCTCAGAGAGGTGATGGGGATCTCCAAAGTCATTCGTATTCACTTCCGGGCATTCTGATAAAAGCAGCAGCACATATTGTGTGCCAGACACAGTGCTGGGAGATTTGCTTGTGCTTCCTGGCTACTCAAAACCCTCAGAGTAGTTAATAACAGTCCTAAGCAAGAGACTAGAACTGCAAGTGATTAGAAAAGGTGACATCTTGGGATGGTTCCACCTCTTCTTTTTAATTTCTTTGTTGGACTTCGTCTCACAGACTGGTTTCTCATGTATAACAGCATGAACTCTCCTGCACACCTCCTTCATGTCATGGTGAATGTTACCCATAGTGAGAGATTAAGAAGGGTGTGGGGAATGTGGTGATGGGGGTAGTGGAGCCCAGGGATCAGAAATGAGGCAGGAGATCTGTCTTTACACTCTCCCCACTAGACAAAAAAGACAAAGGCCATGGGATGTGCTTAGGATTCTGTCTCAGATTTTTCCTAGAGAAGATCCAAAAATACTGCTTTCCAGTTTTTTCCAACTTGCTGTCACTCTCACAGTGATGCTGTCTAGTCCCTCTTTGAGTCAGAGGGAGAGACGGCTAGATATAGTTGCCTTGGCAACATAATGGTGCTTTAAACCCATTTTAGTAGAACCCATAGCTTGAAATCAGTTCCCTGGTGAAATTCTGACATCCGTGGAAGCGAGTGGCACAGTAGTCAAGGACTTCGGATTGAACTAACATGAGCTCGGTGACCAGCATTGCCACTCTGCAGGGATGTGGCCTTGGGGACATTGCTGATTTCTTTGATGTTTGTTTTCTCACGTTCCATTTCTTCCTTAATGTGAATGCACCCATAAATCACCCAGGAATCTTGTTGCAGTGAATGCTATGACACCGCAGTTCTATTTAGGCCTGGGATTGTGTATTTCTAACAGGCTCTGGAGGTGGCTGGTCCCTGAACCATACTTTGAGTAGCAATGGTCAAATCTCATTTTCACAATCCCACCGAGCTTTACGTGTATTATTTATAAGGAGTTTAGCGTCTGGCACAGTGATAGTCTTATTCCTTGGACAATGGAAAGTTACCAGCTTGGGCTTGAGGAGAGGACCCTGAAGAAGAATGGCAGGTGAAAGGAAGGTCCAAATGACTGCTCCGTGTTCAGTTCTGCCCTCCATCTCTGCATTCAGAGGATGTTTGGAAGATTATAGGAAGGCATTGTAATGTACAAACGGCATTTGGAGGGATCAAAACTGTCCCTATTTTGTTCCCATTCTGTGATTTTAAAGAAGTCCCTGCCCATCTTTGGGCCTCATTTACTTCTCCTGAAACAAATGAGCAGATGTCAGACGCCCATCTTTTTCTTCTCTTCCTCCTAACAGTACTCACTGGTGTGGCTTAAGGCAAACCAGAGGGCTCTTCTGTGCTCTCCCTGTGTGTCAGAAAGATGTGATACAACTTTACAGATGAGAGTTTCATTAAAATCCACTAGTTTTTATCAAAATGATCTTAAAGTCTTTAGTTCCTCCCTCAATTCCCCATTCTTCCCTTCTCTGTTGTCACCTTACTTCCTATTATAACAGACTACAGAAATATTTTCTGTAGAAAATATTTTAGACCCCCCTCTCCTCATTTTTTCTTTCTAAGATTTTTTTTACTGGTGCATATAAATAACACAGAATAATGAGATTCAGTCTGATATATTCATGCATGCTTGTAACACATTTTGATTCCTTTCATTCCAGATATCACTGACCCCCATTTTATTCCCCTCCCCTGAATTCCCCCTTTTCTCTAAGAATCTGCCAGTGTAGGCCCTTTAATACCATGTCCCAATCCACTCTTTCAAAACCTCTATCTTCAAATGGGCAAAAATAGTAAATCATACTAAAGTGTGAGTGATTCTCCTAAATTTTCCCAGTATGTTTGTACTTTTGTGTGTATTTTACAAACTCTTGAGATTTTAAATATAATAGCATCATTTGTAGAAATTCAGGCACAGAGGTAAAGTAATTTGAGGAATACAGCAGGGAGAATAAATTTGGAGGTGAAGGAATGCATCCCTTATTCACGCACATGTGTGCACACACACACACACAATGCTTTCAATGGTTCTTGGGAAATCCTGCCTCCAGGGAAGGTTGTGTTTTTGCAAGGAAACTAGGCAACCTTACAGACTTGCTTACATATTTTTGCAAAAAAAAAAAAACTGTCTTTGCAGACTCCATAGAGAAATAAATTATATTCAGGAATATTTAAGTTGTAAAACCATTTTTGGAGGTAGGCTCAACAGGAGATTGTTTCCGCAGGTAGACTGGATATATTTAGGATAAGGGCTTTGGTAGACACTGAAAGAGAAAGTGGTTAAAAGCAGCCAAATCCACTACCTCCCCACCAGTTAGCTCTGTTTGCTGGGGCTGTAATGACCAGGACCCAGCGATGAGCTTCTCTCCATCAACTGTGTTCTCGTTTTCTTCCCAACCATCTTGGCTTTGTCTATTTTTACAAAAGGTGAGCTTTCCACCTCTCAGAACAGCCTGCTGTAGTGAAGTCCATGCTTACTTTGAATCTATATTCTAGCTCTGTCACCTACTGCTGCATGATGTTGTACAATTTAGTTTCTTCAAAATCTCCACTTACTCATTTATAGTGTTAAGGTGTTGAACTCCACCATCAAATAATGCGTTTTCACATTTGATTTTTCTATAGCAAGCTCTCTCAGGCTTCCACCTCCTAATCTGAGTCAATACTCGAATGGATAGTTGATGGGGAAAGGACAGGATTTGATCTGAGAGCAGGACCCAGACTTGATTTGGTAACTTTCTGTGAGACCATGAACGAGTGATCTATTTCATTAACATTCAGTTTCCTTCACTGCTAATATCCACATCTTACGCCTATTGAAAGGTAAAAAGATAACCAGTGAAAAGCATGGATAAATAGAAAATAAACTGATAATTTGATAAATGATAATTGCTTTCAACAATTCCCTTGTCTAGCCACAAAGACTTCAGAAACAAGGACTTTCTCACGTTCATTTCTGAAGCCCTAGAGCCTAGTGCAGGCCTAGCTCTTAATGCTCAGTAAATATTTATTAACAGAGAACTACAGTAGCCACAATCTCCTCCAAAGTCATGTTAGAAGTTTCTTTGTGTTCTCTTGTCATGTTCTTGTCACTTTATGAGTGGTTTAATCCTTACAGTTCCTCATCATGGTAGTTATTATGGTTCCAACATTACATGAGAAACAAGACCAGAGAGATGAAGCACCTGTTCTAATGTCATGCCAGGAAGTGATGGAGCTGAGAGTCAAACACGGCACAGTCCCATTGCGAAAGTCTACAGATTCTCAGTCTACCCTTATTGTTGTAGGATGGGTGCGTGGGTGAATGGATGGGTAGATGGGTGGGTGGATGGATGGGTGGATGGATGGATGGATGGATGGATGGATGGATGGATGATCATTCCTATGGTGGGATTTCAGACAGCAACCCAGGCAAGAAAAAGATTCAGACTCTGTCTTATCCTCCTCCTAGCAAGGCTGAATTTAAGGCTAAAGGATAATGGAAGAGAAGCAGAACAGTTGTCTATTCAACATGGGGGTTGAGTGAGGTAGACTGGAACATTTCTAAGATTCTGGTCATGGCAGCATCCCTCCCCACCCTTACCCTTACAAGTGACTCTGTAGAGGCTCAAGTCCCACATATTTTTTAATTTTCCCAGTCCTGCCTTTCTGTTTATCCATTTCATTAAGCCAAAAGAACTTATGTGGTGGGAATAATGACCCCCAATGTGTGTATTTTGAGTGTAGCTACTATACATGGTTTATACAAATCTATTAAAAGCTATGTTACACTGAGAGCTTTGATCATGTCTAATCAGTAAATTAGATCAAATCATTAGCCTTACTGTATAGGAGAATCAGCTGAAGCTCTGAGAGGTTAAATAATATTGCTGAGGTACAGGTAAGTGGTGGTGGCAGAACCTGAAGCCAGGGGTGCCTGTCTCTGGGCTCACCTGTCCTCTTGAATGATACATTCCTCTTCCTTACAACAGAGGTTTCTCAAAGTAAGCGAGCATCAGAATTGTCTTCAAGACTCGTTCAAACATGAACTGTGTGAGTAGCCCCAGAGATTCTGGTCAACTAGGTTGGGTACTAGCAGCTTCTCAGTTGATGCTACTGCTGTGGCTGGGCTGAATCACTAGTTTATGAGATTAGTAGGAAGTTTAGGATTCCATTTAAATATAAGAATCTATAACCTATAGTTCTATGCATGTGCAGAGCTGCTTGTGCAAGGATGTTCACCAAAACCTTAACAATGATAATCTCTAGGAGGTAGGATTTGATAAATTTTTATTTTCTCCCTCATACTTTGCATAATATAATAGGTATTTTCTCTATTATTTATTTATTTATAAATGCATTTGTTTTTATTATTTATTTATTAATTAATTAATTCATCCATTCATTTGTTTGCATTGCTGGAGATGGAACCCACGGCTTTGTGCATGCAAGGCAGGCATTCCACCACTGACTTCTGTGTCCAGTCCTAGGTATTTTAAAGAGGAAATTCTGCTGGCTGTTCAAAATCTTGGAAACTACTGTTAACTGTCCTCATTTCCAGCAGATTATCTTCAACTTTCCTGTTACTGGAACACAGTACCCAGCACCCACCATTTAAAGGAGGAAAGATTTAATTTGTTACACATTCTCAGGAGATGCAGTGCAAGGCCACCTGGCTGTGAGATAGAAACATCATGGTGGAAGGGTGTGG